TGGAAGAAGGCCAATGTGATGCCTATCTTCAAGAAAGGGAGGAAAGTGAACCAGGCTAACTACAGGCCCATCAGCCTGACTTCTATCCTGGGGAAGATCTTAGAAAAGTTTATTAAAGAGGCCATCCTTAATGGACTGGCCGACGCCAACATCCTGAGGGATAGCCAGCACGGGTTTGTTGCAGGTAGGTCTTGCTTGACCAATCTCATTTCCTTCTACGACCAGGTGACCTATCACCTGGACAAGGGAGAGGAGATTGATGTCATATATCTTGACTTTGAAAAAGCCTTCTATCTGGTATCCCATGATCACCTCTTGGCAGAACTGGCCAACTGTGGCCTCAGGTCCACCACAATCCACTGGCTGGGGAATTGGCTCCATGGTCAGACCCAGAGAGTGGTGGTTGATGGAAGTCAATCGTCATGGTGCCCTGTGACCAGTAGGGTCCCCCAAGCCTCTGTCCTTGGACCCATATTGTTCAACATCTTCATTAATGATGTGGACTGTCATGGGGCGGGGACCCAAGAGCAGCCGTGATTCTCTCCTGGAGCCCCCTACCGTGTCAAGTGGGTGTCCATGCACCCTCGTTATCTCGCCCACCACATCTTGCTGGTAAATATTATAAAAGGGAGGCTGCCTTTTACCCCCTTGAGCACGATATCCCTTGGCGTACTCCTGCCGGTACCCTGTCTACTGCTGATTCTGTGTACTCCCGTCACAGGGCTACGCGTGGCTCCGACCACCCCTCATACCATGCCCCAAGCCTCTCAGTTGTCCCGGACGTTATTGTGTCTATGCTCTTTCCTTAGTGCCCCCTCCGAGGCCTCCACCCATATGCTTGCCCTCACTGGGCTCCTAACTCCGATACTTGTCCTTACTGGGCATCTACCTGCACGTTCGCCCTCACTGGGCTTCTCGAAATGTACTCACCCTCTCCAGTGGCTTCTCGAAATGTACTCGCCCCCTTCCGGGGCTTCCCAATAGGCTTGCCCTCTTCCGGGGCTTCTCCCACACAGACAGTGCCCCCATTGGGGCCTGTCTCTCCGCGCTCTCACCCGCACTGGGGCCTGTCTCTGTGTGATTCCTGCAGTCGGGGCTCAGGTGGCCGTAGCCGTGCCTGGCCCCCGGACCCCTTTTCGGATCATACGCCCGACTCGGGCTTCCCCAGATTGGGGCTCAGGCGGCCGCAGCCATGCCTGGCCCCCTGACCC